ACATATTTTTTTATTTCGACTCAATATGAAAAATTTTGAAGCTATGAATTTTCGAAATTTCAACTTTTGGAAAAAGTACCTTTTAACATTTGCGAATTCGAAGAAAGTAGTTCTATATAAGAATACCATAACTAGCCGGCCTATTCTTTACGATTTTTTCTAAGCTATCTAATGGGATAAATGTTGAATTTATTCGACTTTTTTTATGAATAAATAATTTTTTTTCCAATTTGGAACCAATTTTATTCAGTTTCTTTTATTGAAAAAATAAAGCATACAAATAAATACCTTTCACAAAAATCGGATTGATTACACCAGTGTTTGTTCTTTAAATTTAACATTTTTTCTTCATAAGCGAGGTGTAAATGATTCAGAATAATTCTAAAAAATATCTAATACATCTTGTTTCCAAGATATTTATTATTATACCCTAAACAGGGTATATTAAGTTTGCTACGAAGTTTCTTACATCCAGAAGAAAACGTCGTAGACAGTATACTCGTAAAATTTATATATAAATGGACAGCGTGACGAGCTGTGTCTATTTAGCCATGTCCGCCCGTCCGCCTGTCTGTATATACTAAAGTAGACTCTTAGTTTTTGAGATATTTTGAGATACAATTTTTCACACATATTTTTCTCCCGAAGAAGCCGCTCATTTGTCGAAACCGCTGCTATCGAATCACATTAATAATATATAGCTGCCATAAAAACTGAGCGATCAAAATGAAGTTCTTATGTTATATGAAAACTTTTTCATTGGTGAAGGGTATTCTAACTTTAGTTTTAATATAAAAATTTTGACTTTGATCTTTGAAAATTGCGAGAGTATAAAAATGAAAACTGTAATATAGCTATAAAACACTTACGATACGAGTATTAAAATTTTATTATTTGCTTTATGTAATCTAATTGTCTAAGTGTAGCAACTACTTTAAGTACTTACCTATAACCAATTCATCTCCATTCAAAGGGTGCCAATCAAAATGAGTGTGCAGTTTGCGTTTGAACAAACTACTGGATATACATCAGACACCAATTATATACGACGATATCTCCACTTGTATCCCCGCTGGCAATGTATCTCATATTCGGTGACAGCATTATTCTGTTAATCGGCAACTTGTGACGCCGAACCTTTCTTACTACTTTTAAATCGGCACAGAGAGAACATATAAGCACCCCAACCCTGTTCCGCCTATAATTTGTGATCCAGAGTGGTTCCATATTAAGCAATGCAAGTCTGAGTGGTCTGCAGAGAATACTTTTCCATTTATGACCAAAGACTTTGTTGAATTAACAACTTTCCACAATTCTAAAACTAATAAAAATAATTATTATTATTCAAATGTATAATTTAAAATAATTTTAAATACTCTTTGCAAGCGGTTAAATTCATATATTATATTTGTGTGTACCAACATGTGTATATAAATATATAATATAATATAATATATACACTCCAGTTCACTTATAGCATTTTCTTTTCAAGATTAAAATGTTCCCTCATTATATGGCAACATTATATAAGTGCCCCATTACATTTTATAAAAATGTTCCAATTTTGGATGACAGAAAACGAAAATATCAACCTACTCCTTGTAATTTTCATTATCGAGCTTAAAAAATTGATCGATTCATTATAAATAGTAAATTTAAAAAGAAATATTTATTAATAAGTAAGAAAGGACAACTTAAGGTTTTCGAATATATTTTAATTAAAAGTAGGAAGTATTGCATTCATAAGTAACAATCAGAATATACACTATTTTAGAAAACATTCTTTCCAAATTTCATGAAGATTTTTACATATTGACCTATACCATAGATGCGATATAAAGTCAACCGGAAGTTCGAAAGTATTTATATTATTATTATATTGAAAAGTTATAGTCCGATTTTGACAATTTTAGGACATATGATTAAACATCTTGAGGGTACTATTTGTGCAAATTTTACTCTGCTAACTGCATTGATGTTTTCAAGTATTTGTATATTAGAAAGTGAAAGAATCAGATGGAATTAAGTTATGTTATACGGGAAGTCGGCGTGATTTATCATCTGATTTCGCCTTGTATTGAGAGAAATGTTTCATTGTTCAATTTTACACCGGGTCCTATAAGCCTTCGCTCCCATGCTAGTTGTGAAAGATAAAGCTTGTTGCCATTTTCACAGCGTATGAAAAGTGCTAAAAATACTTCCTCCTAGAAAATTTGGTTGAATTAGCTTCAGCGGCTTGGATGATTTGTACATTAAACCACTTAGGGAGCGGGCTACTCCCTTTAAAAATTTCTGTCACTTGGTGTCCTTGTTACCTTGATCCCTGTACCATATTACAGTTCGATATCTTAATTTAGTGCTTAATTATGGAACTATAGGTTTCGTTTAATGGCGTTTTATGGGAGGAAATGATCCGATTACGTCCATCTGCAATACCGAGTACCTTTGGGTGCCAAAGAATATGTAGCAAGTTCATCAATATATCTCAACTTTTCATGTACGAAGTGCACAGAACAAGAAGCGGACGGACAGACAGTCACCCGGATTTCAACACATTTCGTTAACCTTATCATTTATATATATAACTTTATACCTTTATTTATTTGGGGAAAATGGTGAAAGGAAAATATATACATACTACATGCTTAGACAGATAGACCTGCACTACGCAGTGGGTTGGTTGGGCGGTTTGTGTAGAGGGGGCTTCGAGGTTTGGGTTTGGGGATTGTGGGCCCGCGGCGCTTCATTGTAAGGGAAAAGCAAGCTCTGCGTTTTAACTAAAAGTGTGTTTGTGGGTGTGTGGTGGAACTTTTCTCGTATAGTAAAAGTGCATGTGAGTTTTTAAAGCACATTTTGTTGATATTTTTAATTTAAGTGCATGTTTGTATGTACATTTTGAAACCACATAAATATGAAGATTGGTTATTTTGTTTTGTTCTTAACGAACATATAAAAAGCCTACAATTAAAAATATATTTCACTAGAGGACCCCGTCCACGCGTTGTGGCTAAGGTATACATTAATTACATACTATTTAAGACAGTAAAATTGTTTGATTTGCTCTTATATATCTTTGACTTGCAGTATTTCGAGTTCTGCGGTCTAAGTTTGTACATCTGCTTGGTGGCATTTTTAAAACGAAAATCCAACTGAAAATAAAAATTACTCCCTTATATTTTTAGAATGTAACAGAAATTTTAATATTGTTGTCATCAAAATTACTAAAAATCAATATTAAGCTGTGAACTTACCGTGATTAACAAACACTTATTAGCAAACATCAAACTTCTTAATCTTTAAAACAAAACAAACGTCAGATTACCACTTACAAATGTTGTGCGAAATTTGTATACTGCGTTCTGAAATCTAACTCATTGTCTACATATTTTATTATATTATTAAATACTTACATTAAATTGAAATCATCACTGGTATTATTAATATTACCGTCAAAGTCGGTACATTTAATTATGGAGTAATTTTCAAAAATTAGTTTTGTGCGATAGAATTTAATTAAGTAACCACGTTTCCGAACAAACGATGCTCTTTCAATATAGTCTATGGCTGTGAATGACGATGACATTCGTTATGCGCGTTTTTAAATTTGCAAAATTAAATGTATTTTTCAATCTTTCTGAGACATTTCTTAGTATTTTTCCCCTAAGAACCTTCTACAGAGTATTAGAAAACTTAAAAGATCTAGCCGTTCTCAAGTTATGGCGTGACAACGGGAAACGGGTTTCATTTTATATATATAGATTATTAATTTTATTTTAATAATTTGCGACAGTAGATGTTTAAGGCTTCAAAGCCTATAATAATAAATTTATTGTAAGGAAATAACTGTCGTTTTCGAGAATTTGATTGTTTCCATATCAAAGCTCCGTTTGAACACCACCATAATTTATTATGGTCCTTAAAAGTTTATGTGTAACAGTAGATACCGAGTTCCTCCAAAAGCCGGTGATACATTAGAGAGGAGAGTACAGAATATAATTAAATGAATCTTTCTAGATTATATAATTTACATCCAGATGTTGTGCGCTGTGAGTATCATTTTCATAATCATTCTTATGTTAAAAATCAACCGACTACAAATTAGTTGTGCCTTTATACATTTTAATCAAGTACATACTGGATAGTAATTTAAATTATAGTGATAATAAAATTAGAAAGTTTAAGCTTACAGTTTTTTTTAAAGGGTTAAGAAAGAATAAGTATAAATACATATTTTTCAAATATCAACCTCATTTTAAATTATCGTGGACAAGGGTATAACACAATGGAATTCAAGTTTTATATTTCATTATTACATGTTTTAAAGCTGCCTATTTTGCACCATTTTGGAAATAGATAATAAAGGGCTTGCAGTAAATCAAAATCAATCGAAAGTGAGCCTCTTTTAACGCATTATAATGAAGAAAATGAAGTGTTGTCAACGACGGCATTATCATCGTCGTCGTCATCGACCCCATTGTAGAGATAACACATCCAACTCTACCCCTACAGAAATAACTCAACCATCTACAACAATCACAACATCGTATATAGTTGACTTTACAACTGAAGCGAAGCCTATAAGAATTTTTACTATAGATAAAGCTATAGAGGCCTTTCGTAAAGAGATTATTGAAAAGGAATCTGATATTGGAGATTCATTGAAACAAAACAAGCATTTTATCAACATTTCAAATTGGAATAATAATTTTGATATCCCGATTCGTTGTACTTATGATAGTAGATAAGTATATTGAAAACTATTGAGTATCAAGTGCTTTGAATATCGTGAAATTGAAACTGAAGTTGAACTTCTGTAGACATCCCAACTTTTAAACCAAATGTACAGTGATTGTTTACTATTAATTATTGAATATGTGGCACTTTCCATGTAAAATTTATAAGTTTTAATGTAAGCTTTTCTTTGTTTGTAGTTGTCTTCATAACAAAAGCATCTTCTTTAGCTCGTATT